GTTTACATTTTTTTAAATTAAATAATTGGAATTTTTGATTTATTAATTCTAATAAATTTTAACCAGAACCTGAAATACCTAATGCTGAATTTATATTTTTCGAGAACCTATTGGCTATTAACAAAATAATTGAGTACCGAAACAAAAAATGTTCCAATAAAAACTCTAATTCAATATGAGCAGGTAACATAAAATACATCGTAGCTTAMAATTTAATGTGAATTATAACATCAATTACGTATTTATAGTAAATACATTAAATGCGTTAACAATATTTAACAATATGACGTGATGTTTACCTTGACAATATGATGTTTGAACGATAAATCTAGAGGAATCTTCATCACGTGACACCAATATGTCGTCTCAACTGCTGGGACATTTACTTTGGAAGCTAACACATCTATTTTGGACACTTTATCCGGCAATCGGACCTGCGGGGCTTCTGGTTTTAGCAACTGAACTCTTTGCATGCCCTTTGCTCTGGCTTGTGACACCAACAGCCCTTCTACTGCAAATAGTGGACCACCGCCTACCATCCATACAAGGTGAGTAGTGCCATCCTATTATGTAATTATTGATTATCATATTATTGGTTTTTACATAATATGCAGCTATAGCATTATTATAGGTATACTAAATACATTATGATTTTATTTGAACTGTGAAAACTTGCGTTGATAACCTCAGTTGACTTTTAAATTTTTCAAAATAATATTTGTTCTTGGGTTGAATTGCCTCATTTCAAGTGTTTAACAATGAAAAGTCAAGAAATTAATTCAGGTTTAAATTTTTATAATTTATTTATATCCCATAATAAATGGAAAAATAATAATAACTGTTTCAAAGTATATATAACTGTTGGTAAATTGTATAATAGAATAAGATTAATAAATTTCATACATCACAGTCACTTGCCTGGATTAAATAATCACGATCGTCATCACATGTATCAAACTTTCGAGTAAATGTCAAAGCAGTCCCGCCTCCGTGAAATCGAGCAACATCGAACTCTTCACAATCCTGTCGTTCATCTACAGAAATTCTTCCAGCATCGTCTGTCCACGTGTCCTGCATAAAAAATATTGTTACACATTTTATTAAATTATCTACGGGTTGATTAAATTTACTTGGACGTTTATAATAGTCATTTTAGAATTATTAAATTGGTACTTTTCGATACTTTTAGAACTAATTTGATAGGTACTCCATAAACTTGTACTCAAAACTAATGATATCATTTAGATATCCAATAATTTAAACATTTGTATACATACGATAACATTACAAATTTTAACACAATAAATACTATTCGTGAGTTGTAAGTAAAAAAAAAAAAATATTTCATGAAATTATTATAATGAATAATAATACATATTATTTTAAGACTGTAAAATGGCTCGTAATACCTAAATCAATATCATGCATCTATTAATTATTGAAGATTGGTTGCAACAAATAATTTACGGGCGTAGACGACAGACGCGTAATGGAATTTTATGACAATTAAATTTCCTTTATTCGTATCTGTGAATTCCGAAAATTCTGACCGAAATTAAACATACTTCGAATAGCCTGATCTAAATTCTTAAAAYATTCTAAGATACTTAAGTGGATGTCACCCATGCATTTTTTGTCTCAGTCTTGCACATGTACGACATACCAAATTTCCATTCATTAGTTTTCATATACCTACTGTGCCATTAGTTTTGATATTAGAGTGAATTCACTTATTATTAAACTTTTTGTCAAGAACATTGTCTGTTAAAGCATCGGCTTTTATTCGATATTTTAATTTTCAAGTGACGTATGATCATTTTTAATTTTTGATATTTCACATACCCATATCTTGCTTGCAAATGAGAATATAAAAAAACCTCCAAAGTTATCATRGACAATATTCTTACCTACAAATTTGAATAATTATAGGTCAATTTACTCTAATATCAAAACTAACAGCACTCTTTTTAAAGTACTAACCGAAAATTTGACGTGTCATACGCATGGGTAGCATCTTCTTAAGATTGTACAATATACTATATAGGTTACATAATTGTTTCCGTTTAAATGAGTCTTTCAAGGCAATAAATACATTATACTTTTTACTTTTTAGRACCACAATTATCCGAATAAATATCAAATTTAGTTAACTATCCGAACATTTTGCTTTTGGAATGTCAATAAGCGTTGTAGGTACAAGTAATCATGTATTTATATAGAATGTAGTATTATTGTATATAATAATTCAGTATTATATTAAATATTAATATCAATAAACCATATAATATTAGATAGGTACTTGTGTTTTTTCGTGATAAATAATATATAATATAAAAAATACTCGGTATCCAAATTTTCATGTTTCCGTACTAGATGTGGTCCATAAGAATAGGAAAATAAATTTAACTGTCATTTTATACATCATTACCAAGTTCAAGAAATTGCCTCCAATTTCATTATGATTATACACCATAATCAACAATATAAATAACGAAGTAAAAAGTTTAATTATAAACTTATGTGAAATTCAAGCCAATGAAATCAATATTATATTAATAATAAAAATCAAATAAAAAAAAGCAGATAAGTGAATGTCACTCTGCTGTACATTAGGTGGTGAGGTGAACCTCTCACTAGGGTAGGTTAGATTTGAATGCAATGATAGATATCATTGTATGCGAAAAACGATTCTGAACGGAGATGATTTGTCAGTCTAGGATATATTATATTTCAATATTATCGTATTATATTTTGAAACAAATATTTTATGCATAAGGCATGGTTAATCAATTTTTTCAAAAACATTGAATGTAGTTATCATAATTCATAATATCTTATATTATCATAGATATACATATACCTGGTTTGAGGATAAACCGTTATCGTTACGCGATTTCATAAAAATTTAAAACTCAAACGCCCAAAACATTTTTCCTATAACGACGCTTCAAATTTTCTCTATAGTTATTTGAAGCAAAGCTTATGGAAAACTTAGTGTTGAATTTTATAACCTTAGTTATAAACACAAAAAATTTTATGATTTTTAAACTTCAAAATTACTTGCAAAATTTCGCATTTTCGACAGATTTCGTAAAAATTTGAACTACAAACGCTTATAAAAAAAAATT